ACACCAGGTATGCTAGACCATTTCTAGGCCAAAAAAAGCTGGTGGCCTAGAAAACCTTTCTTTAGGGTTTTCTAGGCCACTTTGTAAAAACAGTCAAGAAATCACACCAGAAAAGCATACCATTTTAGGCCATTTCTACATGGTGGCCTAGAAAACCCAACGTTCAAAAGTTAGGCCATCATATCGAAATGACTTAGAAAACACAACAGGGTCATGCTAGACCATTTCTAGGCCAAAAAAAGCTGGTGGCCTAGAGAACCCAACTTGCAAAAGTTCTGAATTTCTGATTTTCTGAATTTATGAATTTCTGAATTTCTGAATTTCTGAATTTCTGAATTTCTGAATTTCTGACTTTCTGACTTTCTGAATTTCTGAATTCCTGAATTTCTGAATTTCTGAATTTCTGAATTTCTGAATTTCTGAATTTCTGACTTTCTGACTTTCTGAATTTCTGAATTCCTGAATTTCTGAATTTCTGAATTTCCGAACTTCTGAATTTCTGAATTTTTGAATTTCCGAATTCCACATGTCCAAATCGATCAATGTGGTGGCCTAACTTGTGCAAGTTGGGCTTTCTATGCCACCAGCTTTTTGCCGCCATGTCCAAATCGATCAATGTCCAAGATTTTTCGAGAAAATTTTCGAGAAAATTCTCGAAAAATTACTCGAAGCATGCAAGTATATCTAGGTAGTAGATTAGCCTAGTGATTGATATATCTAGGCTGAGATTGGCCTAGATATAGCCCCTGACAGTGAAGCAATTACCTATATGTACCCCTTCAAACTATGCACCCCCTCAGTCAATGTACCCCCTGAGCATTATGAACCCTCGACCTACCCCTGGAGTATGGGCCGGTTGAAACTACTACATGACCTAGAAACCCGGATTTCTAGGCCACCAGTTTCTAGGCCATCTAAAAACAGAAAACATGTTGTTTTTCCTTGTCTTCCCGGGATTACTATAGCTCATTTACACTGACTATGAGCAAACCTAATGAAAGAAAAACAATTGTTTTTAATTTTCTCTCCAGCTTCTCCTTCTTCTTCTTTTTGTTGTTTTCTCTCTGTAAAACAAATTAAATAGGGATTACGGTAGTCTTGTTTTTCCCCCATTTTCCTTTACTATAAGAAATTTCCAGAAGAAGAAGAACACATATTAGTTTCTCGGGGGAAGAAAGAAATTCGAAAATCTCATAAAAGTTTTAATTGGAAACTGTGTGGGGGAAATGGAATCAAAAGAAGACATAAAATTAGCACCCGCTAAGTAAGCAATGGGTTAAGCGGTAATTGAAGAAGGATTTGGAGGGCTTGGGGGTGGCCTAGGATATTGGGGGACGGGGAAAAGTTAGGCCATCCAAGGAGGAGACTTTTTGAATTTTTGGAAATTGACGGAATACTTTGAGATTAGCTATTTTTCCAAAAGTTAAAATTTCACAATTTTTTGGGATTGTCTAGAAAAAATGTTTAAAATATCGATTTTTCGATTTTTCGAATTTTTTTGAAATTTCGAAATTTTCTGAAAAAAAAGTTAAAACTTCAATTATTTCGAAACTTTTGAAACTTTTGAATTTCTGTATTTTAGAACTTTTAGAACTTTCTGATTTCAATATTTCAGATTTTCGGAAAAACCCGCTTAATTTCAGAATTTCAGAATTTCAGCATTGCAAATTTTCAAAATTACATAATTTCTAATACTCTGAATTTCCGAATTTCTGAATTTCTGAATTTCTGAACTTCTGAATTTCTGAATTTCTGAATTTCTGAATTTCTGAATTTCTGAATTCCTGGATTTCTGAATTTCTGAAATTCTGAAATTCTGAATTTCTGAATTTCTGAATTAATGAATTTCTGAATTTCTGAATTTCTGAATTCCTGGATTTCTGAATTTCTGAAATTCTGAAATTCTGAATTTCTGAATTTCTGAATTAATGAATTTCTGAATTTCTGAATTTCTGAATTCCTGGATTTCTGAATTTCTGAATTTTTGATTTTTCGAATTTCTGATTTTCTGAGTTCCTGATTTTACTGAATTTCCTGAATTTCCTAAAAACTAATTAAATAAAATTTTTATTTTCAGAACTTTTTTTTACAAAGATTAGATTTTCAGAAAAGGAATAGAATAGAAAATCACAAAATAAGAAATATGAGTTTCAGCGCAAATTCGCTCTATCGATAATCAATTTCAATCACCGTAAACACTCTAATAGAACGCCACCCTGTCCGTCCACTTTGAGCCTATATATCTCACTCCTTTTGAAAGGTATCAAAAAGTTGTCAACTGATAAAATGTTTATCATGATATCAGCAATATTTTATCAGTTGACCACTTTTTGATATCTCTCACGGAAAATGAGATATATGGGCTCAAATTTGACGATGAGGCGATTATCAATAGAGCGAATTTGTTACAAAGAACAAGAAAAATTGTCGGAATGCAACAAAGAATTGGTGGAATGTTTCAGAAAAATATTAAATTCGAATTTCAAAAAAAAATCAACGGTGTAAATTCCCAGGGTTTAGATATTTAAGGATGATAAATTTTAAAAAAAGTGCATTAGAGCGCATTTGACAGGAAAAAAAATATATAAATCGAATCTCAAAAAGAAATGAAGAAAGACAAGATGACAGAAAAAAATTCTTGGCACAGGAAATGAAAATTTACAAAAAAAAACGGAAAAATTGAGATTTTGAAAAAATACCTTTTTTTTTGAAAAAATTCAAAATTTCCGAAATTCGAGAAATTTCAAAAAATCGGATTTTACAGAAAACCTGAAATTTCAAATTTTTCGAAAATCCAAAAATTCGAAATTTCCAGAAAATTGATCGATTTCAGGTAGTTTAAGATTTTACAAAACTTCAAAGTTCTCAAATTTGTAAGATTTTGAATTTTCAAAAAAAAAAAAATTTCTCCCAAAATCTTCTCAAGAGCTTAAAATAGATTCAATACTAAACGACGAGTTGAACCCAGCGTCAGGACTCGGCGTTTTTGAGGAAATCTCCGAAGATTCAGAATTCGGCGTACTTGAATTTGACGTCTTCAGAAAATGAGGCATCAGAAGTAAGGAGAATGGATTCAAAGGTAGAAATCCATTTTTTGATGGGTCCATTCCATTTGGAAAAAGACAAAAATTGGGAAACGAGGAAGAGAGTGAGGGAAAGAGAGACGCTAGAGGGGTCATTGGAGGCTCTGGAATTGCCGAATTTTGAGATTTTCTGGAAATTTTCGAAGGTGCCGGATGCTGGAAATCGTCGTCGTAGTCGTCAGTTTGGTGTTGAGCCTGGAAATAGTTTATATGAATTAAAATTTTCGCAAGTTTTGGTATTTCAGATTTCAGTAATTTCAGAGTTTTTCAATTTTTTGAAATTTCTTCATTTTTGCATGAAAATTAAGGGCTTCCGACTTTTCGTTTTTATATTTTTTTTTTTCCAAATTTTTGAAATTTCGATTCAGAAATTCAGAAATTTCAGGAATTCAGAAATTCAGAAATTCAGAAATTCAGAAAATCAGAAATTCAGAAATTCAGAAATTCAGAAATTCAGAAATTCAAAAATTCAAAAATTCAGAAATTCGAAAATTCGAAAATTCAGAAATTCAGAAATTTAGAAATCCAGAAATTCAGAAATTCAGAAATTTAGAAATCCAGAAATTCAGAAATTCAGAAATTCAGAAAATCAGAAATTCAGAAATTCAGAAATTCAGAAATTCAAAAATTCAAAAATTTAGAAATCCAGAAATTCAGAAATTCAGAAATTCAGAAATTTAGAAATCCAGAAATTCAGAAATTCAGAAATTTAGAAATCCAGAAATTCAGAAATTCAGAAATTCAGAAAATCAGAAATTCAGAAATTCAGAAAATCAAAAATTCAGAAATTCCATAATTCAGAAATTCAGAAATTCCATAATTCAGAAATTCAGAAATTCAGAAATTCAGAAATTTAGGTCATTTTTGGCCTTTTTCAAAAAGTTACTGTTTTTAGAATTTTCTAAAAAGTGATCTACCAAAAAAAGAAAATAAAAGTACATATTTCATTCTGAACACCAATCAACACCAATCCAATCCCCACTTACCTCTCCAAATTCAAACTACATCAATCTTATTCTTCCCCTTATTTCTTTGAATTCCCTTTTCAAATGATTAGTTTTTCTTCTCCCCCCACACATTCAAGGCCACAATCTACAGTAATCCTTCTCCCTCTTTTTAAAACAGTTGCGCGAAATGAACCGGCTGATGTACACATATATGTGTATAGATATGTGTCACTTGGATTGTCTTAAGCGGCAAAACTTTTTTTGTTTCTTTATGTTCCTTTAAAGGGACATATGGTGGTCAATTTAATGGGCTTCACAATGTGACAAGCAGACTGTTTGCCAGCAGCTACAGTAACAGAGTAGCTAAACAACGGTGTACAATGCCCACAACTACAGTAACCTCGACTTCATCGCCTACTACCGTACCCATAGTCTGGAGTTATCAAGCTTCCGATCACATTGAAAACATTGGAGAATGTAAAATAGAGCTAAATTGAAAACTTTGCGTTCCCAGAACTTTTCTGAAAGACACCTGCTTTTTTACTGTTTTCATAATAAAATGGACCTAAAATGGGTGTCTTTTAGAGATCGACTAACATCTTAAAAACTAGGAAATTCCAAAAAATTCTGTGTATGAAAAATGTTCAAACTATGTCTCTTTTGATAAACACCTCGACTACGGTAGCAAAAACTACCGTTCACGCGACTACAGTAACCCGAACCTTCATCTACAACCACTCTACAGTAACCATGACTACTGTAGCTCACTCCTGTCTTCTAAGCTACTATTCCTAACCCCCAAAACAATCAACTTTTACTCTCCCTCTCTCTTCTACAAACTCATTTTCCTAGACACTCACAAACACAAACTTATTACTCATTTTCTCTTTTTTCATTTTCCTCAAAGAAGTAATACTAACATACATGTCATCCTCATGAACATATGGTGGCACATGCAACAGATGGGAGGGAGGAGAGGAGCCAATTGAAAACGATGAACCAAGACATTTCGCGCGCACTTTTAATTGCCTCGATTCGTCATAATTTGCGAAATTTGCTCGGATAGCTAATAGTTTGATTGATTAGTGCAAAAAAAGTTGATTGTGTAGCTGTAAGCTCCACACCTTAAAGTTAGGGGAGAGGGGCGAGGTACAGTAGTCATGGTTACTGTCGCTGTGGTAACGGTAGTTATAGCTACAGTAGTTCTAATGGGTAAATGGAGAGGAAGAGTAAAAGTTGATTGTTTTGAGGGCAGGAATACTAAAGCTAAGGACTCATCCTAACTGAAATATAACGAAAAAAGTAAGCCGTATAGCGACATGGTCAATAGCTCTAGGTTAGAAAAATATTGAGAGAGATATTGAGGGAGAGCAAGAGACTGATAAAGAGGTGAGTATGCATTCTGAAGTGACGGTGTACAATGATTGAAATATTCGTTGCTAGGTACTGTAGTTTTAGCTACAGTAGTCGTGGTTACAGTAGTCATGGGTACGATGGTTGTAATGGATAGGGTAGCTGTTTCGTGTATGGTAATAGTTGACTTAATCGAGGTTACTGCAGGTGTGGGTACTGTAGTAGCAACGCGTTGTTTCAAAGTAAATTGGAAGTTGCCGAAAAGCGGACCAACGGCGGCTGAAAGCTCGCTTAGAATTCGATAATTTAGATGTTCAGCATTTTGAAATTTTCAAAAGAAGAAATTCAGAAATCCAAAAATTTAGAAATTTCAGAAATTCAGAAAATCAAAAATTCGAAAAATCAAAAATTCAGAAATTCAGAAATCCAGAAATTTAGAAATTCCAGAAATTCAGAAAATCAAAAATTCTAAAAATCAAAAATTCGGAAATTCAGAAATCCAGAAATTCAGAAATTCAGAAATTCAGAAATTCAGAAGCTCGGAAATTCGGAAATTCAGAAATTCAGAAATTCAGAAATTCATAAATTCAGAAATTCATAAATTCAGAAATTCAGAAACTCGGAAATTCGGAAATTCAGAAATTCTGAAATTCTGAAATTCAGAAATTCATAAATTCATAAATTCAGAAATTCATAAATTCAGAAATTCATAAATTCAGAAATTCAGAAATTCAGAAATTCAGAAATTCAGAAATTCTGAAATTCAGAAATTCTGAAATTCAGAAATTCAGAAATTCAGAAATTCAGAAATTCAGAAACTTAAAAATTCTGAAATTCTGAATCCAAAAACTCAGAAACTCAGAAGTTCAGAAGTTCCAGAATATCTCGTTATTCTTCTCCACACAAATCTACAGTATCCCTTTTATTCCTTATCCAATCCCTTTTAGTATTCTTTGCATTCTTTCATTTTAAAACAAATCATCTCCGTTTTTTCTTTTTTTCCCGCCCAAATTTTAGGATTACTGTAGGTCGACAAAATAGATAGCTACCTGATAAGAGAGATTTGCACAAAAAATTGCAAAAAACTACAGTAATCCCCAAGCTACTCACTTTGAAGCGTTTCCGACGACGCAGACAACTGCCGTTCTCGAACATTCCAGACGCATTTGGATGGACCGCCCAATAGGAGCCCTGGAAAGATTTTGGAAATTCGAAAATCGGATTTTTCTTAAAATTTTGAATAATTTGAACCTAATTTTCTTGAAATTTGAAGAGTTTTAACCTATTTTATAATGATTTGAAGGCGAAAGTTTGGAATTTTCGGTTTTTTGATTTTTGGAAAAAAAATCAAAAATTCTAAAAATTTGAAAATGAGTTCAATGAATTTGAAATACATTTTGAAGGTATTTTCAGCCAAATTTCATGAAAATCAGACCGATTTTTTCAAAATTTTTAGAAATTAAAAAAAAAGTTTTTTGCTGAAAATGTTTCCAGCCAAATCTCACCTTTCCCGGCCGATCGGCTCGTCTGGGGATTTTAATGAAGCAATCGTTGAAGGACAAATTGTGACGAAGAGAGTTTTGCCATCTGGAAAACGTTTGAGATTTTCAGATTTTTTCGGTTTTTCACTGGAATTCTAGAATTCTGAAATTCTTGAAATTTTCGGATATCTGAAATTTTCAGATCATAGGATTCTAATTTCGTAGATTCTGAAATTCTGAGAATTCCTTGAAAATTCCAAAAGGAAATCTAGATTTTCAGATTCTCAAATACCGTAAAACCTGTAATAGAAGGGCCCCCCCACACGGCCAAGTTTGAGCTTAGTTATCTCAGCTCCTATGAGAGCTATCAAAATGTGTCACCTGATAAAATGTATAAGATGTTATGATAAACAATTTATTAGTTGACCACTTTTTGATATCTTTCACAGAAACTGAGATCAATTGGCTNCAACTCGCAAAATCGGGGGCCCTTCTATTACAGGTTTTACGGTGTGTCAAATCTTGAAATTTCGGAGATTCCAAAACTTCAGAATCTCTAGAAAGTAGATTTCTTTAGATTCCTCAAAATTTTCAGAATTCTGGAATAGTCAAAATTGAAAATTTTCAAGAGTTCAAGACGTAAAACCTGTAATAGAAGGGCCCCCTAACTTTGTGAGCTAACTTATCTCGGTTCCTGTAAAAGATATCAAAAAGTTGCCAACTGATAAATTGTTTATCATAATATCACCAATACTTTATCAATTGACCATTTTTTGATATCTTTTACAGAAAATGAGATAATTGAGCTCAAACTT